GGCCGAGAGCCGCCAGGGCCCCGACTCGGAGCGCGGCGGCGAGGCGGCCCGGCTCAACCTGTTGGACACTTGCGCCGTGTGCCACCAGAACATCCAGAGCCGCGCGCCCAAGCTGCTGCCCTGCCTGCACTCCTTCTGCCAGCGCTGCCTGCCCGCGCCGCAGCGCTTCCTCATGCTGCCCGCGTCCATGCTCGGCCCGGCCGACACCCCGCCGCCCGCGCCCGCGCCCGCCGCCTCGCCCTTCGCCACGCAAGGTAAGGCCGCCCGTGGAGCCCGGCTCGCGCGCCGCTCGCTCGCTCGCTCGCTCGCTGGCTCTCGGCGCCGGCCCCGGCGGGCGGGGGGAGGGGCGGGCGGGTCCGGCCACTTTGTTTGATGATTGATTGCAGATTGGATGCCGCCCGCTCCCCTTCCTGCACGCTGGGGTCCGTTAGCTCTACGAGTCCCCTCCGCTGGGGACAAAGGAACTCGGGGACGGGGTTGGGTCGCCTTTCTCTGTGCAAGCCTTCATTCCGAGAGGCGTGGAGCCAGCCGGAGCGGGCTGAGGTCGCCGGTTTTCTGGGGCTGTGCAGACCCCGGCTGGCAAGGCTGGAGCTGGCAGTTGTTCGCGCTTTTTCTCTCTTTAATTTGGGGGGGGGGGTGTTCGCGCGCGCGCGTGCTGTTTGTTAACTGGATAATGAGACTTTTGACAGGCAGCCCCCACAGCGAAGGTTAACAGGTTTGAAACAGGGAAAGTAAGTTAACGAGCGCGGTCGCGGTGATTGTTAGAGCCGACCGCCGTTGGTTGCCGTGGAGCCAGTTTCCAGCCCTGAGGACCCCGTGAGTGCAGGGGAGAACTGCTCCTTACTGTTTCCAAGGCCACTCTTTGGAAGCAGATAGCCAGACCCGCTGTCTGCAAGGTTGCCTATGGCTTTAAGGGCGGGAGGGAGGATTAACACACCTACTCCTCACTTACCGACTGTCTCGATGTCCAACATTTAGTATTTGCAGGACTGAAAAAAATCTCCATCTGTTTGCGCACCAGCAAGCCATGCCTGGCTGTAAAGGAAGCTGGCTGTGATGGTTGAGCTTACATGTCAACTTTGGCTGGGCCAAGATTCAAAATGGTTTGGCAGTTACGTAATGAGACTTAATTTGGCAGTTATATAATGGCATAATTGGGCAGTTATGTAATGACCTAATTGGGTAGTTATGTAATGATGGGATTTGACAGGTAGTGATGCAGTCAGCCTCCATTTTGTAATCCGATGTGGTCATCCTCCATTTTCACATGCTACCGAGTTTTGCATTCGTGACCTGGTGTTTGAAATTTATGCTTGTCAGAAAGTGAGGACATCTCTATTTGAAAAATGCAAAGTAGCCCTGGTGGGTGGCATAGTGGTTGCAAGTTGGGCTGCTAAGTGCAAGGTCCGCAGTAGGAGACCACTTGTGGGCTGGGTGGGGGGAGACAAAGAGTTAGCCTTGTAAAACATGCAAAGTAACTGGGAAAGTTATTTTTAGTATTATTAAAAAGAAAATTTTGTTAAGCCAATTAAAGTGAGCAGGGTTTATTGAGTGAAAAACAGTTTTACAACCAGCACCCCAAAATGAAAATGGTGATTGTGCTCTAGTTTGCAGTTAACATTGCCCTTTCATTTGGTTGGTTAATCGTTTTTAATTTCTCTTTTGAGACAGTGGGTCACTAAATGGCTAAGCTAGTTTGTCCTAATTGGATGAATGTTAATTCCTGCTCATGAGTATTACGAATGCCTGCTAGCTCATCCCTATATTTAGATTCTGCATAAGGTTATTGTTTCTTGTAAGTGACTTTCTGAGTAATTTTTATTTAGTCTTTGATTGAGGGGAGCTATGTTAACTCTTGACTATTTAAAAAGTTTTAACAACTCCCACCTTTTGGTCATCTTGGCTGTTGAAGATGTCACCAACTGGACACGTTACTCAGACACCCTCAGTCAAGCCATTTTCTTTATGTGGCCCTTTGATACAGGTTCCTGATGACTATGTGTAGGACAGGGTGAAGCTGCCCCTGTGGGTTTCCAAGACTGTAGCCCTTCATGGAAGCCTCATCCTTCTTTCAATAGCAGTGGTTCTCAACCTTTCTAATGCCACAACCCTTTAATACAGTTCCTCATGTTGTGGTGACCCCCCCAGCCATACAATTATTTTCGTTGCTATCTCATAACTGTAATTTCGCTACTGTTAGGAATCTAAATGTAAATATCTGATATGCAGGATGTATTATCATTGTTACAAATTGAACATAATTAAAGCATAGTGATTAATCACAAGACAATATGTAATTATGTATTGTGAAATATTTGTGTTTTCTGATTGTCTTAGGCGACCCCTGTGAAAGGGTCATTCGACCTCCAAAGGGGTCAAGACCCACAGGTTGAGAACTGCTGTTCTGTGGAGTTACTCTCCACAGCTCACATTGCTGTTGGCCGTCTAAGAGGTACATGACATTTCAGATCTCTGGCTTCTTTGCAACATATTGGTTGTTGAGGATGAATGGCAGTTGTTTGTTGAATGTGATGGTGATTCAAAACATTTGTCTTTTGAGCAAACATCTTGTTAGGGAGACTATAACAAGAACTTGGGAGAAAGATGAGGCTTTCTACTCCCATAAAGAGTTACACCCTCGGAAACCCACAGGGTCAGTTCTACCCAGCCCCATATGGTCACCATGAATCAGAATAAACTGGATGATAATAAGATGACTAAAACTAAGGGTAATTCTCCAGAATCCAGAAAATTCTTCTGTGGTTAGATGGTCCAAGAGAAAATCCACTGAATGATCAAATGGGTTAAGAAAATAAAAGATTTAAGGAAACAATTAGTCCAAAGGGCTAATGGATCCTGTGAGCCACAACTTCCAGTATTCAGTAACCAGAAGAAGCAGGTGACCACTACCAACCACTCTGGTTAGGATCAATATAGAAGGTTCTACACAGAGGGAAGAAAAAAAGTGGGATAAACCCTAAAAACTTAGAAAAGATGGTGCTTTCTGGTCTGATAGAGACACTCAGAATCAGGAGATTGTGGCCCATAGACACTCTTTAGAACTGGACCTGAGCACTCCCAGAGATCAATTGCCAGATAAGCAACAGATAGACCTGTAAGGTGAATAGTAAGTCCAGAAACTATTACTTCTCAGAACAATGAACCATACCAGACCAAAAGGGCAGACAAAGCTCAGAAGGCACATGGGAAGGATCAATGGAAATAGAGCACAGGGATAGTGGGAAAAGTACTATTACATTGGGGATTGCAGCTAATGTTATGAAACAAAATATGTATTGTTCAACGCAAACTAAAATGCTCTGTAAACTTTCACACAAACTACAATTTTAAAAAAGAGATTTAATGTGTTAAAATTTGGATCAGCGCTTATAATTCTAAGCAGTCTACAATTTTTAAAATTGTGTATTTCTGTTTCTATTAAACCTGGGTTATTTATGGAAGTGCAACAAGCAGTGTGTGTTGGTTACAGTACGTAAGCCATTTTCTTCTGTGGTAGGTACTCTAGGACTAGTCTATTGTCTAGTACCACTTCTGCAAGATAGATTTAATAATTGCTATTGTAGTTTGATTCTGCAATTGCATTGTCCATGATAAGTCTGATTAAGGTATTTGCCCCCTGTTGGACTGGAGTAATCTTAAGCTTAGTAAATAGAGAAGTCAGTTTGGGATTGTTTTAAAGGATTCAACGAGACAATAGACAAGGGACTTCAAAAAGTTGTGGGGAAATTCCATATTTTTCCATCTTAAGGCCCTTGACTAATGGGTAGGGCAGTTGTGTTACTTTCTTAGTGCTGCTGTAACAGAAATACCACCAATTGGTGATTTTAAAGATCACAGTTTTATTTTCTTAGAGGCTGGAAGTCCAAGTCTGGTTTTAGGAGCTTTCTATCAACATGGCATCCCTGATTCCTTGTCATTCATCACATTGCTTTTTGTGCCTACAGCATTTTAACATGTTGTACAAAATTAGTATAGTGTGCTTACAAAAAATACTTCGTCCCAAGGGAGCAGTCTGATTTGGAAAAACACATAGCATCTGCATAAAATACAGTAGTATTTGATATCTTAAAAGTGGTTAGTGTTTTAGATACATCTTATATTGATAATAATTTCATACAACAAGAAAATTCTGTTCTCAAATGGGACTATAGCCAAAGATTTATAGCATGTGTTTTTTGGGGGGGTGGTGGGGGGGACACAATGCAATCATTAACAGTAATGAAGATGTGTTCTGGGAGGGCATATAGGAAACCAGGTTTTGACCTTGTGATCTTGGGTGCAGCTCCACTTCAGGACAGTACATCATCTACTTTTTCTGCTGTTGAGGATAGCTGTCTACTTTGATGATCTCAAATGAGTTTACATTTTAAGTTAGCTAAAGGCTCGTGGGACTGAGTCTGAAAAAGCCGTCTTTAGTTGGGAGGCATGTACCTGGGAATCTTATCTGTTGAGTTTCACTGTTGTGTGAGTGGTGGGCAAGACTTGGAGCAGCCCTTTTCAGTGAGCAGCCCTTTTCAGTGATATTTTTTCTCATATATGGATCAAGTACTCATTCAGTGATATTTTTTCTCATATATGGATCAAGTACTCATGAGTACCAAGAGAAGTGTTTGGGCCAGGGTAGGTAGGTGTAAAGAATTCTGAGATGGTTGGAAGATAGATTGTGCATCTTCCATATGAGAAGTCAGGTATGTCTGCTGTCCAGCATACTAAAGATAATATCTCTGGCCTTCCAGCATGCCTGATGTCTAACATCCTGAAGATAACATCTCTCTGGAGAGGCAGTTTAATCATAAAGATTAGGGTTCCCTATGTTGTCATCAACTGGTCCACTTACCATGGTCCCATGGTCCCTGGCTGTAGGAACCAATGCCACAGTGCCGATGCTGTGGTTTATGCTGTAAATCATGAATAAGTTATAAACTACTCTTGGTCTCTCACCATGGACCTTCTATCAGTCTCCATGAAACTGGTATCTGGTTAGCCTACAAGTAGAATAAAACCTTCCATGTTTCAAAGTACTTGTTGGAGAGTTGGTGCAGGTGAAAACTTAATCTGAGTTTTGAACTTTAAGATACATTTTAAGTTTATTTGTATTTAAGTGGCTAAACAGACAGTTAGGGTCTGGATTCTACCTAGTTCTAAAGATTTATTGTATGATGACTTGAATGAATAAGAATGTGAATCACAAAATAGTTCATCCTTAATTCTGAACTGCTATTCCATTTCCAGA